ATACACCTGTCTTCTTTGATGACTTGTTCCTTTTTTATGTGCTCGTTTCCATTAATTCCATTAATACGCTAGTGTTTCCTTTGTCAGCTTTGGTCGTTTGGTAGGGTGTTCGATTATTCACCTCTTTCCAAAAGCGTGTTTTGAGTTGTTCGAAAATTGCCATTTGGTAAAAAACTGTTTCCCAATTTTCAAATTAGAAAAATATCCGGTTTTTTCGTAACCAATAATTTCAATGAAACTATTAGAAAAGAGCTAAGCAAAAAAAGTTCAAAGTTTTTTATATCAAAAGTAAAACTAATAAAAATCTTGGAAAAACTCAAATTCGGTCTCATTTTAAACATTAATTAAAACGTTATTACATTTTTAATACTTTTTTTCGGATTTGAATAGTGCTCTTCCCGCCGTAGCCGAGTGCGTAAATGTGCCTACTGCCACTCGGAAGGCCCATGGTTAATTTTAAGTTACAGCAGCATCAAAAAAAAGTTTGTTGGAGTAAAAGTGTAGGTATCTCCATTGTGCTATAAAATCAAGCAGCAGAACACTAATTAGCGGAGAAACTCAGCTAAACACGCAGAAAATGTTTAAGTGCCAAACACTAATTTATTGGAATCAAATATGATATACTATTCAACCCGAAATAAGTTGGAAATAATTTTAAAATTATTAAGGGATTTCTCTTAAACTGGAAAAAGACCTTGAAAACTGTGAATACCTCAAAGGGAGAAGTCAAGATTTCTATGAAATATAAAAAACCGGTTTGTTCGATCAAAAAATTCGGTTTATTCGATATTCGAAGAATCAAGATTTCAAAAAACCCGCTTATAGATATCCAAAAAAAAATGGTGGAAACCGGTTTGGAAAAACCGAGTCAGTCACCCTACTTTTCAATTCAAGTTGTTTGCACATGTATCTAGTGTGTTCCTGTTCCTCTTTCGGATATTTTGCTTTTTAATACGCATGGAAGCCTGTTGTTTTCGAAAAAAAAATCAAGGGAAATCAACGGAGGAAATCGGCGCAGAAATAAGCGAATTTTGAATATGCAAATGGAAATGCGCAAGCATTTTTTTTAACTAACTATAAGCAGGGTATCCATGGCATACTCGTAGTACATGGCGTATGAGTAACATTTTCTCAGCCCATATAGACGCACAGTGTACTTTTTAGGGGTGTGAGTGATCACAAATCTATAACTTTTGACGGGTTTAAAGTTTCCTTCGCGGTTTCTTTTTGTGTTGTTAAGTGGAAAATTTTCTATCGATAGTCATAGCAAAAAGTTTAAATATGCTCCAATTTTACCTCGAAAAGTTACCTCAAATTAAAAAAATATGTATATATATTTCCAGTTCCTTTAGATTACCAAAACACATATTATTTTGTCGTTTTTTTTTTAATTTTTGGTATTGGAAGAGACTTATGTAATTTTTAATAGCAGTAGAAATTAAAAAATCGACTTTGTAAACTGACGCGAAATTTCATTTTTTTTTTTTTTGAACCGGCTGCCGAAAATAACCGATCTTCCACTCAGCCGTCGAGATATCATTAAAAACGCATTGCTCATTTGCATTTCATCAGACCCGACTTTATTTATCCATACATACATATACTTCGATGGTAGCTTGATTTTTTACAAAAAGATTCAAACTTTTTTCTTTTTTCCCCCTCTTAACAATTTAACTGAAAAAAAAAATTCCAACTTAAATTTGCTAGTGTAACTGGCTGTCAAAGTTTGAGTTTTTCTATAAAATATTCTCCATTAAATATCTAAAACTATTGACGTGATACGGATTATCGCAAAACGGCATCGTAATCTATAGCCCAAAATTAAATTTACGTGTTTGGCCGTTTACCTACAATATCATATTATCAAAACCAAGCAATTGCTTTTTCTTAAAATTAAAAAACCTTCTACTTTAATTTTTTTAAGTAAATCGAGAAACAATCTGAAATTTTAAGAAAAAATATTTGCTTAATTTTTATTCATAAGGCCCAATGTTTCCCAAATCTGTTTTATAGGGTTGAGTTATAATTTTCTATGTATTCATGTACATAAATGTATATATAAGCCTTTTCAATACCTCATATGAAAATTTTATAAAAAATCATGCATATATATCCATATGTAAAGGGAAAATTCCGAGTCATACGTACGTATATTTTACGCAAATTTTCAAATTTTTTATTCGGATTCATTGGTGTAAAGTAAAAAATTAGGAGGAAAATCTTTGGCAGTAACACGATTGGTTCGACACATAATATGAAAGCATTTAATTTGAAGTTTCTGAGATAATCATTCTAAACATAACAACTCTCTCGTTAACAAAAGCATTTATATTTTTTTTCTTGTTTAATTTGCCATTTATATAAGTTTTTTTTACAAATTCCATTAAAAGTTAAAAAAATTGCAAAACGTAGAGCACGTACATACTTACTCATATACTAATTAATAGCGATGCATAATTTAGCTCTGCTAATATGCATTTGTTTTTGATTAAATATTTGGGTATATTTTTTTTTTGTTTTTGGACTTGCTTTTTATGTTAGTCTGTCTCATGCTTGTTTGTATACATATACACACATTTTCACACATACAGAATACCTACTAAATATATCTACTAAAACTATTAAATATAATAAATTTCATTTGCCATTTCAAAGCATCGACAAGTTCAGTTAGTTATAATTATGAAGTTCTAGTTTCTCATTAAGTATTCTTTCCTTGGTTGCATTCACATTTACTTGTACATTTGTGTGCGTTTTCCTAAATTCGGTTTGTAACGTATCGATACGCGTTCACGTTCCTTTTGCATTTCTGAAATAACTTCATGCAATAAGTAAATATTTTAATTAAGATTTTATTATTGAAAATTTTCGTCCACACCTTTTACTAAACGTACTAAATTTTCATAGACATCAGCTTGCATCTCATCAAATACGTCAGCATTATCACCTTTACCCTCAATCGCATTATATTCACTTGCCTCGTTGCTTTGATAGCGTTTATGTGGCTGTTTACTTTTAAATCCCGTAAAAAGATCAGCCTTAATTTGGGAATATTTATGCACGAACAAAATGAAAAGAGCAAAATAAATAATACCGTTTTATTTACTCTGTAAATAACGATTGCCTGTTACGCACCTGGTAGTCACTCTGCTCTAACGACTTGGCGCTGCAAATCACATAGAAGTAGCCAGTAAGGAGCAGTATAGCCAGCAAACTCCATTGACCCATTTTCACTTGTAGTTTATGTCTGTGAAGAGCTAATTTATGTGTTTGTAAATTGGAAGAATTTGTTTTTTAGAATTAAGCGGTATCCTTGCTGTATGACAGTATATCAATTGCGGCTCCGATTTCGTGCTAATCTAAACAGAAACTGTGCTACTAAGCTGGTAAAAGCGATATTTTATAGCCGCTTTTATATGAACGAAGCGCCATTATGATAATGCTAGGTGCCATGCATAGATTTCAACACTTTCAAATGCTTTGTCATACAAAAAATTAGTTTAATAACATAGCGTGATATGCAGTTTTTCATTCGACGCAATCACTATTCTTAGTAAATTGTCAAAAATTCACAAAAAAAATTTACAAATTATGCAAGTCACCTTTGTATTTAACAAGTCACAGTATTTTAATATCACCCAAATTATACAAGTATGTGTGTGTAGTAGGTTAGGTTAGGTTGTTTGAGCTGCCTTCAGCCAAGGCCGGGCAGGAGGCATAACTAAGCTTAAGGAAGTATGTTGTGGTACCGTTTATTTGGCCCAAAGTTGATTCCTACCATTTACTTAGACCAGCAAGACAGTCGGAAAAGTAGTGGTTGTACAACCCCATAAGCCTATACTGATCTTAGTAGAGTCGGTGTTGAATGTTATCAACCTATTCATAGTCACGACAGTCAGATATGTACCGGGAAGCTTATTCTCCTAGCGTGCCTTTCCATAAAGTAAATAATAGTCTGCAATGATCAGTGTATGTATTTAGCAAGTTTAGCCATCTTGATTCCAAAATTCATGCAACCTACAGCTCTTTGGCGACTTTAATGTACTAGTGAGCTCGCACGGCGTTAAACGCCCAAGATAGAATGTCAAAAACCCTTCAAACTATTCCAAATATTATAAGCTATTCGAGTGTTATATTTCTTCTAAATCTGTGGAGTCGTTATCAAATTTTAAATCACCCGATAAAAAGTTTCCAATTTCAAAACAGGCAAGGTCTTTATTTTACAGGTTATACAATTTATTTTCGAGTAAACATCTACAAAGTTTAATTTGTGGCGGAAGTGAATTGCGAAACCTACCTGAAAGCCTTTTTAAACCCATTCCGATTAATATTCATCCATAACAAATTCAATTAACTTATTAAGTAATCTGAGGGCAGCTTATGGAATACGTGGCAACGCTCCTAAATATATTTCAGGAATAGAGCCTTTTCAACCCCAATACGAGTGACACCCATATTTAAATAATTCATTTGACTTTTAAAATAATTTGAATAATACTTGAACAGGTGGCAACCCTCTCAAAACACCCAAAAAATATTTATAGTGTTCAAGCTAAAGTTTTCTCTACAAATTTTAAAACACATATTTGAATTAGGTAATTGCCCTAATTTATGTCGAGTTGAATTTTTTTAAACAGGCGGTAACCCTCCTAAATATATTTCAGAAATAAAGCCTTTTCAAAATCATTTCGATGATACCCATCTTTTAATAATTCATCCAACTTCTAAAATAATTTGAATGTCACTTTACAAGCACGTGGCAACCCTTTTCTAAATGTTCAAACTCAAGTTGTTTTTAACACTCTTTCGCTTCATATTTCAAATAACTTGCGTAAAAGTGAAGCTATTCTTAAATATTCTTCGTGTAACACTGCGCTACATATTTTTATTAACTGATAAATTAAGTTGAATTTTATTTTTTGAACATGTGGCAACCCCGCTCAATATAGTTTAGAAGTAAAGATTTTTCAAACCCATTCGATTGATACCCATATTTTAATAATTCATTTAACTTATTTGATATTTTCAAATAAATTTTTAGACATGTGGCAATCCTCTTCCAACACCTCAAAAATGTTCTTAATGTTTAAACTAAAGCCTTCTTAACACACTTTCGTCTGACATCCATATTTTAACATTTCATATAACTTGTGTATAAGTTAACTAAATTTTATATTTCAAACAGCTGGCAACCCACTTCAAAATATTTTCAAACTGCTACTTTCTGAGCCCCCTTTCGTTTGGCATCCATATATTGGAACTTTTTCCCCCTATTTACGTTCCTTAATTCAAATTTAATTTGATTTTTTAAACAGGTGGCAACCCTCCTAATGTTTAATTAAGAAAGAAATATTTTCAAACCCATTTTCATTGATACCCATTTCTATTTTTTTCATTTCTATATTTCAAGCCTAATTACGTATGTATACGATATACATATGCACATTAATACATTATAATGTATATACAATGTATATTTTGGGAAAAATTTTAAGATTTGCGTGAGCTATACAATCCAAAAATGTCATTATTTTGATTTCGTTGATACAAATTTTAAACATTTTGTTTGCAGGCCATTTGCGCTTCAACTCTTCTATGATTCGAGAGGTAATTTAGAAAAAAAAAAATTTTTTTACCAATTTGGGTTATAAAAAACTTTATTATTTGAGGTATTTTCATCACACCAAAATCGTATTTTTCAGAAAAATTTTTTCGAAAGTTTTAAAACACAATAAATTTTATATTTCCGATGGAACAGTACAGATTTTTTTATGGAGCGTGATGCGCCCCCTAATCTATATAAATGTATACATATTTGTATTTACAATATTGTAAACATATGTAAGTATGTATGTGTTTGTATTTTATTTGCAAAATTAGTATAAATTTCAAGCCGGCACATCCTTGCCTCTAAATTCCACAAGCAAACCTCTAATACCCAGCTTGGCAATGTCAATGGCTAAAGTCCCTATGCTCTTAGATATGCTTTGATGTGCTCTGATTCTGCACTGACAATAAGATCTTGTGACTGAAATTGAACTCCCATTGATTGTGCCAATGAAAGCCATATAGTAAATCACACAGTAGCCAACTTTTAAGCCGCAGATTATTGCAATGAAAATGGACACCAAGAGATAATTGTCACTGCTTGTTGAAAATCTGCTTTTTTCACCGCCTTTTAGTTTCTTTCCATTCGGCATTTAAAATGACACCCATTCACTTTCTATGGATATGGTCAGCACGAGCAATGATAATGGCAAATGCAATCACCATTAGCAATATAGAAATGACAGCGACATGAACAAGATTTGCTGACTCGGACACGAAGACGGAGATATAGAATAAAACCAATTGGCAAGTTGATGTCGTATAGATAGCCTCATAAATATGTCTTTGTGCATGCATACATACATATGTATGTGTGTAAGTTTGAAGAAATAGAATTCAATAGCCAAGTTGACCGATTTGTGTTCGTAGCGGAGGTGAGTTTTGTAATGTTCAAGCAACAGGCACCTTCTACAAAGCATGCAGATATTTGAGTAGTCCGCCAAGCAGTTTGCACATGTAAATACTTACATATACTATAATAGCTATTTATGTAGCTTTGTATGCTTAGCTATATTTGCATTTTAATTCTAAGCATATGCACCTGAATGTATGCAAATATTGGCATACAATTAAACTTACAGTAGAATTAGAACAATAATATGAATCTCACACAATTGCATGCGTAAGTATTTACGCAACCTACATAGTTATAAGTACTTAGGTGGCTACTTATGCGGAAGCATTCACACACAATAATAAAAGTTGGAGCTCCACACGTTCGCTAAGTGCTGGGCCGAGCTTCTACTCCGATTTGTATTATGCGCCTTGCAAATTTCACACAACTGGAGGGACCTACAGCACAGCTGCATCACTGAAATGCAAGTGGTTTTCATGACTAGATTTTTCATAGTAGAAATATATGCTTAAGTTTTCCATTGCCTGTTGAAAGAATCTCGCTCGAACCAGAGATCAAATCCTGAATATATCTTAGTAGTTAGTAGTGCGCAAGGGGGGTAGAATAGGGCCCCCTGATTTCAAAATGATTTTTGTTAAAGTTTTCGTATAAACGATGGATAAGATAGCAAAATAACATCAAACTTGGTGCTGCCGCACTGGAATTTTGAATAAGAAAAGCGGATTTTTAATTCGGAGTTTCCACTCCCTTTCATTTGTTAATTCCACCTGGTTTTCTTAAAACAAAAGGTACGACTGAATACTGCAGCCCACCCGTGCGCACTTGGCCACATCGGCTGTCATTTAGTATGTGCGCTGATGTGAGGCATGCACGTGGCAGACTGGTATTTTCCCAATTTACAACTACGTACGCATGTATGTAGGTTATGCGTTTATGTAGTATTTACGCAGCGCATTCATGCACACACTTCGTCAAAACCGCAAATGAGCCTTATACCGTGTGGCTGCATGCTTCAATGTGCACCAACTCACGCTCGTACATATATACATAGATATGTATGTAGGTAGAAGATACTATGATAATTGACATATGAGGTCAACAGTGATAACTGCTGAAGCGGACAAACACATGCACGCCTACAACATGCTATCCACGCTTTTATAAATAATTGTGGTTATGAGCAATAGTCGCCAAAGTTGGATAATTATAATTTCGAAAATATGACAATTATAAATTGGAAGTGCTTTCTGAATAAAAAACAAGTAAGATCAGCGCTGTCTTCGGCCATGCCGAATGCTTCATACATTTCATGAACGTCAGAAAATTTTAATTTAAGAGATTACTGCATTTGCAAAGATTTTTATATTCGCAGCATATGTATGTACATATGTAGACAGAGGAGTTTGGTACATAGCTAAAAAATCATATCTAAACATTCAGAGGTAGGGCTGTGCGATTATTCGATTACTCGAGCAAGTTGGTGAATCAATTATTCGGTTAATCAATTACTAGAGTAATCAAGATTTTGATTACTCAAAACGATGATTAATCGAGTTACTTGAAATATGATTACTCAAAAAACAATAATTATGCTCGTTAAAAGAGTTTGCTTTGGAAAACGCTTATTTTCTTTTTTACATTCTGTATATGAAAAAAAATTTCGCTTTAATTTTTGAAAGCAGAAACGTTGTTTTCAAAGTATCAAGGAACTTTAACTACTTTATACATATGTAAAGAGTTGAAATGTTGATTACTCATTGTACTCAAAATGTTGATTAATCATAATGCAAATTACTCAAATATCTTTTTTTTGGTTAATCAAAAATCTTGATTACTCGAGTAACTGAACTTTTGAGTAATCATAGTTTCTAATTAAT